GAGTACACAGATTTCTGGCCTGCAGATTTTTGTGCTCTGAAGACTTGCCTTCCTAAGACTTCCTCAAAGCACCGCGGTTGACAGTCAAATGCAGGGTCACTTTCAAGTGTCCATGACGCTCCCCACCACGTGTATCCTCCGTTTGTGCCAATTTCTCTCACTGGAAGAGGAACTCATTGTTCAGCTTCCCTCCCGAAGCCTTTCCTCAGATCTCAAACAAAACAAAACAAAACAATTCTTGTCACCCAGCTTCAAGGACACTGCAAAATGCCCATGTGAGCAGAGAATTCTCTTCGTGGTTTGCACGTGATTCATGCAAGTCATTTTGATTTCAGCTGTGCCATGCTCTGGGGGTTAAGAACCAGGAAATTCTGGATGACCATATGACCTGTGCCCATGGAGGCCCTGTTGAGTGTCAGCACAATGTGGATATACTAGGAGGTGCTGGCCAATTGGGAGTCGGGCCAATTCCCAGTAAGCGCTGGGCACAATGGCCCACCTGAACTCTCACCAGTGTGGTTCAAGGTGCCAAAGTTTTGTCCCCCAAGTCTCACTATGTAAAACAGCAATAATAATGATTTTCATGCCAATACATTATTTAGAAATATTAAAAAATGACATAGCACTTGAAGTATCACATGCAAAAAAAGTTTTATAAATTCAACTTTATTAATAATAATTCATAAGTTATACTTATCTGGTCTTGACATATATTAGAATCATACTTTTTGAGGCAAATATAGCAATCTCTACTGCAAGGGAAAAAACAAGGCTTCTGGTGAAATGAGAAGAACTGGAATGATACTTTCATAAATTATTCAAGTCTGTGGAAACGTTCAGTTCAGAGGTGAAATCTGGCTTTGTTTTCATATTTCTTGAGTTTCACATGCATTTTAGTTCCTCTGCTCCATTTTGGTATAGTGTACTTTCTTCTACTAAATGGTGTAGATTTACCAACAGTTCTTTCAGAGATAACAAATGAGTGACTATGCTTAGTTGCTCAGTCGTGTCTGACTCTTTGCGGCCCCATGGACTGCAGCCTGCCAGGCTCCTCTGTCTGTGGGGATTCTCTAGGCAAGAATACCGGAGTGGGTTGCCATGCCCTCCTCCAGGGGATCTTCTGGACCCAGGAATCGAACCAGGGTCTCCTGCATTGGGATTCTTTACAAGCTGAGCCACCAATGACTAGAGAGCCTCAACTGGCTTTAGGCATTTTCTTCAAAGTGGAATTAGGTGTCAAATTAGTAAACAGAAAGCTCCCCACATTAGCAGATGCAAACTAGTATATACAGAATGGATAAACAAGGCCTTACTGTATAGCCCAGGGACCTATATTCAATATCCCGGGATAAACCATGATGAAAAGAATACGAAAAAATGTATGTGTGTATATATATATATATATATAACTGAATCACTTTGCTGGACAGCAGAAATTAACATAATATTGTAAATCAACTATACTTCAATAAAATAAACGAAAAAAGGAAAGCTCCCCATGGGTTTCCCTTTCCCTACACACAATGTGCCCCTCATGACTGCACTCATTCCAGTCAGTTTTCTGGCTCTATGGGCTCTATGCTTGCATTTAAGATGCCTGCTCTACCCCCTCTTTGCATTGCATCGGGTGTCAGGGCTTCCTGGAACAGGTCTGTGGGTCAGAATATGCTGATCTGTGATTCTGTAAAGATTTGAGAACTGCTTGAGGGAACACACATCTTACGGATGCTCTCCACAAAGCCCTGTTCTTTGCATGGTTAAGGGTTATCTCTTGAGATTGTAATCTGTTAAATCATTATACCTGCGCAATATTTACTTACTTATGTCCCAGTCTGCTGGGTCCCTTGAGGGTAAGCCCTGCTCATCCTACTATCTACCCTTTACTCCGTCTTTCCCCTACTTCACCAGCTCAGTTGTGTCTGACCCTGTCGGACCCCTGGACTGTAGCCTGCCAGGCTCCTTTGTTCATGGAATTTCCCAGGCAAGAATACTGGAGTGGGTTGCCATTTACTCCTCCTGGAGATCTTCCATCCCCAGGGATTAAATCTGAGTCTCCTGCTTTGGGGAGGTGGGATCTTCACCACTGAGCCACCAGGGAAGCCCTTCCCCTAATCACAGTGAAGTCCTAACATGCACTTTCCCTCCCCAAGTCTCTAGATCCCCAATTTCTATGCTTATTCTCAGCCCTGGGGCATGGGGACAGAGGGTGGACCCTTCGGCATTACTGCTTCTAATAAAACAACTATAAACTAAAAAGAACAACGAAAACAATGAGTTATGAGCTGAGAATATGGAAAAAAGCAAACAGTTCTGACTTGAGCAGAACATCTTCCTGATTTATCAATAATCCACTAGAAAATGCATCCTCATCACCAATAGAATGGAGGAGGCAATGGCACCCCACTCCAGTACTCTTGCCTGGAGAATCCCATGGATGGAGGAGCCTGGTAGGCTGCAGTCCATGCGGTCGCTAGGAGTCAGACATGACTGAGCGACTTCACTTTCACTTTTCACTCTCATGCATTGAAGGAAAGGGCAACCCACTCCAGTGTTCTTGCCTGGAGAATCCCAGGGACGGGGGAGCCTGGTGGGCTGCCATCTATGGGGTCGCACAGTCGGACATGATTGAAGCGATGCAGCAGCAGCAGCAGCAGCACCAACAGAAAAGTTTCAGTATGCAAGAAAACAAGCCCTTGTCTAAACAAACTTTTAAAAGGTAAAATATGTTAATTTTACATGTATAAAATTTATTTTTTAGTATTATAGTCTTAAAACATACCTGCATGAAACTCTTGGGCTTCAGAGTGGACTATGTAGGGGAATCAAATCCTTTTGAAATTAAAAAAATTATGTTCCACAGAAACTGATACTTTTAAGCCAATATGGGTTTTAATAACTAAACAGTAAAACATTTCTCTTAACATCAAAATCAAAGATGATTATACTTATTTTAATATCACTATATAAATATGAGAACATTAATTGACACTTGTCTAGGTCAAATATTCCAGTTGCATTAACAAACATATATAAAACAAATATAAATTTATAGCGAATGTCATGATTATCTGCTTCATCATGAATTTAATAGCCTGAAAGCTGTCTTCTTTGTTTGCTTTTGTTTATTTTACTTTAATAATCTCAAAGTATTGAGGAAGGAAAGAAGAGAAACACAACTGAGCAATATTTCAATTCTGATTAAATAAAGAGTCTGGTTAGTTGCAATCCCTTTTGAACACTTCTCAGAGGAGTAAACGCACTGTGACATGATGACCTGTCACTCCACAGCGGTTGGAGAGGTCAGGCCATTTCTTGATAGCAGGTACGTATCCAATGACTCATTCTCTCTAAAAAACTGTGTAAGAAAAAAGTAGGTAGTTCATCTGTACAAACTAATTTCTTTTCTTGATGCTGGGATATCCATCAGAAACATGTTAGTTTGTGCTAAACAGAGATAGGTTCTGACATTGCAATATAGCTAGTATTTACCGCTTTACTCTGCCTGTGAACCTCTCTGCCTACGTAAAATACTTTAAAAGGGTACTTTTCATCTAATACCGTTAATAACAAGAATGGCCTTATTTTGTGTGTGTTTTTTTTTTAAATGGCTGCTTTGGTCTACTTCAGTTTTGGGGAAGCCATTTAAAACTCAAAATGTGATATGGTTTAAAGTCTTACTGATGCATTAGGACTGAATGACAGTAGAATTTCTCAGACATTCACTGAACGCCCACTGGGTCCTAGGCTCTGTGCTGAAATAGCTCAGTTTCTGAGCATCACTTGATCGTGACCCTTCAGAGACCGGTCCGGAAAAATATTATCACATCAGAATGAGCCAAATTTTAATTCGGGGAGTTATTTGGAGGGGGGCATGCATCAGCAGATTCAGTTCAAAAATTCACTGCTCTGGGTTTCCACAGCTTTCCTCCAAGTCTACATTTTAATGGGGTGTGGAAGAAAGATGGGTTTGGGCATTCTTTATCATCTTCCTAGACCGTGGTTAGAGAATTTTAGGAGCCAAGAGCTTAAACTACATTCAAATAATCCAAAAGCTTTAAAAAGGGGCATAGCAAATCCTGTCCAGACCTTAAACCTTGGTGGTAAGAAGACGAGAGTTTAAAAGGCAATTTTTTTGTTCTTTTGGGGGCAGGAATCAGAAAAGGTCAGCTTGCTGAGCGCCTCCCCGAGTCTGGTGCCACGTGCCTCGCGCTCTCACCACAAGGCGGTTCCCCTAACACTTTCATGATGTGAATTTTGCCTTAGCATTCTGAAGGCATAGTCTATAAGACTAACACAGGAACGGCAGGTTATTTTCTCCCTCCACAAATTCTGGTTGCATAATTTAACATAAAAACAATTTGAGAAAGAGATTACTATCTTTTTACCTTTTGCAAAGCTCTTACCGATGAGCTTAAAATATGCAATTGAAACATTGCATTTTCTGGAGTATTCAATACATTTTTTGGATTTTTTTCCCTAACTGCAGGAATAGAATAAATAAAACCACTCAGTTCTTAAGCACAGCAAACATGAATCAAATAGCTTTTACTCCATATTTATAAAAGGCAATGCCACCATCATAAGTTTCTCTGTATTTCCTGTCACCTTTAAGCATTTTCATTTGTTAATCTCAATGTATTTTAATAGCACACATATGTTCTCAAAAAATTCTTCTCTGGGGCTTACTGTCAGCTTTTTTGTTCCCAAAACTTTGATAGTCTTAGTCTCTACAGGACTTGAAACATGATGTTAACAACTTATATAAAAGCCTCTTTTTGTGCTCCGTATTGACAAGAGTCCCTCTGAATCGGGGAGAAAGCAATTGTATTCCAGTCATGTTGTCAGCTGAGGGACATAAGCTCCAAAGCACTAGTTCCTAGGGCCATAAATCCATTGTGTTCCATGTTATAAATAAGGAAATTGCCTGTGATGGCTATGATTTGGAAGCATTAACATTTTTTCTTTGCAGCTCTCATTTTTAATCTTTTTAGTTATTTCCCTTAGTAAAACTTAGCCACCAAAATATGACTTCCTGTATCACTGACCCAGATGCCATAATTAAAAGAAAGACATTCCAACCAACCATGACAAAGGTTGCAGTGAGCATTAAAGGCAAAACAGACCCTTATCGATTCAGCCAAAGGTAGTTTTCTCTGCCCTGCATCTCCTTCCACCCTGCCTCCCCCCTCCTCTCTCTGTCCATTTGAGCAAGCGGCTTGACTTTGCATTAAGAATGTGTGATGTGTGCTTTCTAGCGGCTGCATTTTAAGTTTGGTCTTCTCAACCATGAAAACACAGTTAAAAATTGTTCTCAGAGCTAAACCACTCAACATCTTGGCACTTGGTTGTTTTTAACTTTTCAACAATAGGCACTGTTCACTCCCCTCTGTCTCAGTTCTTTATTCAGTGATCAGGCAGGACGCTGATGAAAGGCTAGTCACGGCTGCCCCCATGGTATCAGTGTGGTGGCATGTGATGATTCACATGGGGTGTGTTTGATCCGAGAAAGCCCAGTCTCTGCTTATTCTTCCTTTGTTCTGTCATCTGGGGGGAAAAGAGAGAGTGTATTAAGCTGATTTTTCTCACTCTTTCCCAGCGCTGGTGGAACACAGAGTGTTGGGTGAATATTTCCCAGTGAATATTTATTGAAAAAGGTAAAATATTTTTAAAAGTGAATTTCCATAGGCAGAGAAGCAGAGCAAACCCCTCTCTGTGGTTAAGAAAGAGGAACCGTGGTTCTTTTAAAGCAGCCCTTGCTTGTCACATATCATCACTGCCATCACCTTAGTCATTTTAAAAGCTACCACAGTTACTTTTGATACTATTTTTACTAAGGCTAACAATCTTACATGATGAAGGGGTTGACTGTAGCACTGAAATGATAGATGCTAACGACGATCTGCTTTTCTGATGAACTTAATAATTGCTGTGATGGCAGAATATACGATTTTCTATCAAAAGTCCAAAGTGGTCCCTCTCTTTCAGTATTTGTTCCTTCCTTCCCTGTTCCACAGAAGAAGTGTCACACAAGACGGGTGTGACAAGCAGAAGCAGGCTCTGCTTGCCGAGAGGTGGTTCTTACAACATAGCGTGGGGTTTCTTTACTGTGATTTATAATCCCGTGGATAACAATCTCACTGCCAGGATTCTCCTGTCTCTCCCACTCACAGTGGTGAAAGATTTCACATCACCCCCCGCACCGAGCTCCCATCTCCGAAGGGCACTCACCTGCTCCTTGAGCTCCGCCAGCTGACCGGACAGCTGTTTGACCAGACTCATGGTTGATTCCAGCTTCTCCTGCAGGTTCCGAATCTCATTTTGCTCACTGTCACCTTCATTGCTAACAAGGGACATGGCTCGCATCCGAGGAAACCAGTCCAAATTCTTCTCCTAAAAGCAAATAAATGTGCAGGAACAAGGGAATAAATATGGAAGGGAGCCTGAAGTTATGTAAAGAATGTTTATAAGGGTTCATTATTATTAACATTTTGGAGAAGAAAATGGCAAGCCACTCCAGTATTCTTGCCTGGAAAATCCCATGGACAGAGGAGCCTGGTGGGCTACAGTTTACCGGTCGCACAGAGTCGGACACGACTGAGCAACTGAACACATTATTAACATGTAAATCAAAGTTGCTTAGCACTTTCAAAGCAAAAGGTACTCTTGCTGGCCAGGGGTGGGGAGAGGTAAAGGTGGGAATGAAGTGAGGGTTCCATATTAGTCTTCATGATCTGAGCAAAGATTTTAAATATTGGAACGAATTTCTTACGGTCTCTCCCAGAGGTCCTGGGTAAAGCATTTAGGACAGCGTCCTGCACCCTGTAGGCAATTAGTGAATCTTGATGAATGATGAGCTAGGCTTTGGAGGCTGAGAAGAGCAATATGTGTGTAGGAAAAGTAAAGGCCTGAGCTGTTTATCCTCCCTACCTGATCCCTGCCCTGGCGCAGAGGAGAAAGGGGTGGTGGAATAGGAGGTGATAAAAGACATGTTTCAGTTCCAGGTGCCCATGCCTATTTACCTCCCACTTCCCCAAGACAGGCTCTGGGGAAGAGGGAAGTGGGAGGGCACGGCCCTGGGTTCCCCTGTCTGCTCCTTTTGGAAACATTTTATTACAGTGGGGATGGGGTTTTAGAGTTAGACTTCCCCAGAGGGCAACAGTGGGTGCCACTTCTGTTTTTCCAGGCTGACAGAGCGTGTAGGGGGGTGTGTGTGTATGTGTGTGTGTGTGTGTGTGTGTGTGTTCCCTCCATTGTGGTAAAAACATACGGTTACCAAGATACCCACATCTCTTGAAAATTCTTCCTGATTGCCCAGCTTCATAGAATCCCTGTGAATTATTTGTATCCCATCTTTCAATCCTCAAGAAAGTTTCCCATTTTAAAGATGAGGAATCGAGCGGTCCCAAGAGTTTAATTAGCCTCATCACAAGCTAGGAATTGGCAGAGCTAGGATTTGAAGGCAGGTTAGCCCTTTGGCTGGGTTTCCCTGGCGGCTCAGCAGTAAAGAATCCACCTACAATGCAAGAGACCCAGGCTTGATCCCTGGGTCGGGATCCAACACGGGAGGGGATGGCAATCCACTCCCGTATTTTTCCTGGAGAATCCCATGGACAGAGGAGCCTGACAGGCTACAGTCCATGGGGTTGCAGAGTCAGACGTGACTGAGCATGCACACAAGGCTTTTGGCCACTGATCAGGAATCCCAGTCTATATTTACCTATTTCCTTAAATCACATTCTCCCAGTATCCCTAGCAGTGACCTTCCTGCTTAAGATTCTTTCCAGTCCAGAAAAGCCCACTGCAGTGGCTACAAAGACGTCTGCTTAGCTGATGCCTAGAACAAGAGCCAGGAGAGTTCTTTCTCCTCCTAAGGGGAAAGGGGAACCGTCCAACCTCTGTACCTTGGCACTTCTGTCTAAATCTTATCTGGCCCTTCGGTTGGTTTCTTTGGTAATTGTTAGTCAAAGAACAACACGTTCTTTATAGTTCCTGACCCTCCAGTGGCAGTGGAAAGGGCTGATAAAGGATAGGATAAAATATTCAAGAGTTAAGCTGCATTTAAACAGCTGTAGCTAATTAGCATTTCAAAGGGGAATGGTAACTTATTCTGAAGTGCAGAGTGACAGCCAGATTCATTCGGTTAGTGCTTCAACATCTATTGCCAGGTATTTAAAGATGAAAATCAGGTAAGACAAAATGTCTGCTCTCAAGGAGCTTGTGGCTTAGGACAGCCCTCCATGAGAAGTGGACAGGGCAGTCTGCGTATCAAAATTCCTTGGGGTTGCTTGTAAAAATAGCAGATTTCAACACCACCACCTCTTACAAAATCAGCACCTCCTAGGGGGCCTGCATGATTTGTAGGTGCTCTAAAGTTTAAGAAGTCTGATCTATGGAGACATAGAAGATTAACAAGAACTGCTAGGGTAGTGGCTGGGTAGGGAGATGGAGTGAAGAGGAAAGATGGGAAGTGGCTGGCATAAGGAATGGGAAAAGTGAAAAATGAAAGTGTTAGTTGCTTAGTTGTGTCCGACTCTTTGCAACCCCATGAACAGACTCCTCTGTCCAAGGGATTCTCTAGGTAAGAATGCTGGAGTGGGTTGCCATTTCCTTCAACAGGGGATCTTCCCGATCCAGGGATGGAACCCAGGTCTCCTGTCTTTCAGGCTGGTTCTTTATTGCCTGAGCCACTGGGGAAGAGAAGCCAAATAGGGACCACTGAACGCTTGCAGGGTGGAGTGGGAGACCCCACCTTGGAAGGACTCCATCAGAGATCAGGGCTCACCAACAGCCCAGGTGGGTGTGCAGCTGAGGCCAAGAGCTGGACTGATACAAGATGGTTTGTCCCTAGGAAAGGGCATCAGAATGACAAAGGTATCGGGACGCTAGGTATGTCCGCAGAGCAGTGGCTGGTGTGAGGAACACTAGTGTGTGGACTGGTAGGAGGGATGGATAATAAACAGACAATCCAGTGAACTCCAGTTCTCTTATCTATTTAGAATCTGTATTATCTATTGTACTATCTCTTATCTGAATTTTACAAATGAAGAAACTGAGGCTAGCAAACACAAGCTGGAATTAAGATTGCTAGGAGAAATATCAATAACCTCAGGTATGCATATGACACCACCCTTATGGCAGAAGTGAAGAACTAAGGAGCCTCTTGATGAAAGTGAAAGAGGAGAGTGAAAAGGTTGGCTTAAAACTCAGCTTTCAAAAAATTAAGATCATGGCATCTGGTCCTATCACTTCATGGCAAACAGATGGGGAAACAGTGGAAACAGTGAGAGACTTTATTTTTGGGGCTCCAAAATCACTGCAAATGGTGACTGCAGCCATGAAATTAAAGACACTTGCTCCTTGGAAGAAAAGCTATGATTAACCTAGACAGCATATTAAAAAGCAGAGACATTACTTTGCTGGCAAAGGTCTATATAGTCAAAGCAATGGCTTTTCCAGTAGTCATGTATGAATGGGAGAGGTGGACTATAAAGAAAGCTGAGCGCTGAAGAATTGATGCTTTTGAACTGTGGTGTTGGAGAAGACTTTTGAGTCCCTTGGACTGCAAGGAGATACAACCAGTCCATCCTAAAAGAAATCAGACCTGAATATTCACTGGAAGGACTGATGTTGAAGCTGAAACTCCAATCCTTTGGCCACCTGATGCAAAGAACTGACTCACTGGAAAAGACCCTGATACTGGGAAAGATTGAAGGCGGGAGGAGAAGGGGATGATAGAGGATGAGATGGTTTGATGGCATCCACGATTCAATGGACATGTGTTTGAGGAGACTCTGGGAGTTGCTGACGGACAGGGAGGCCTGGCGTGCTGCAGTCCATGGGGTTGCAAAGAGTCAGACATGAATGAGTGACTGAACTGAAGTGAACTGAGGCTAGCAAATTATTTTGCTGGAAGTCCAATCCAGACCTGTCTGTATCCAGGCCTTCTGGCCAGAAAGGAGACTGTGGACAGAAAGTCGAATAATAATAAGGTAGGATAACTTCAGGAAATAGAAACTAGAGTAAGAAAGTCTGAAATCTGATAAAATATCAGTGGATTTAGGGAGTTAGTGTATCATGGGTATAGTTGGAGAACTTTAGCTGAAGAAGATGAAAAATTTCTGGAGATAGACAGTGGGGATGTTTGCATAACGATGTGAACGTACTGAATGCCACAAAAGTCTACACATAAAATGGATTAAATGGGGCTTCCCTGGTGGTTCAGTGGTTAAGCCTCCATGTTTACAATGCAGAGGGCCTGAGTTCAATCCCTGATCAGGGAACTAGATCCCACGTACTGCAAATAAAAGCTCCCACATGCCTTAACTGAAAAAAG